TTCTACAAACTAACAAATAGAAAGTTACAGCATGGCATGGGGTGGGGAGAGGGGGGAGAAGGGGCAGGTGTGGGCGTAGCTTGCCCACATAGTTCATGTTACATGAGCTTGCATAGTGAGTCCTGACCGTTAGGCCGGAAAGTTCCTGGTACGATGTTTCTCCATCCCTGTGTGTGTGTGTGCTCCAGGCAGCCGAAACTGCCCTGCACACCCCCCCAATGATGGATTCCAACAGAATCTGAATTTGTTTTTCCTCTTTAAAGATAACATTTTAAATTTAAATTTCTCCCTCCAGTGGTATTTCCCATTCGGTAAGTTCAGATATGCAGATCATACAGCAAGAAACACCAACAAGTTCAAAATCGAGAAAAAAGTATAACGATGAAGATGATTTCTATTTTGCTTGTACCAATTCAAGGTAATCATTTAAAAATCTTGAAAATAATTGTTAACATACATGTGCATCCATTACCGCATTTTAAGGTAGATAAATAAAGATTTTCTTTTCTAATGACACAGAGTTTCAGCAAATAACAGCAATACTGCCTGGGCTCTAATATTTAAAAGGTCAACCCTGTTTAAGAGCCGGGGTGGAAGACCACCAGGAAATCTCAGGATTTTAGCCTAGATTGGGAAGATGAACACTTTGAGGAAAAACAAATAGTAGAATAGCACCAAGGTGCAAGCTTGACTCAAAAGTTGTGTGTCCTTTTTCCTAGGTGTCCTGGAAATGCTTAGTGTATTTGACACTTCGCTGATCTGTTACTCAGCTGCTGGGCATAAAATCACTTAAATGGTCCTAGCTCCATCTTCCTTAGAGTAGATTTGTTACGTAGGATTGGAGAATTTAGGAGACGGTGTTTTCTGGTGTAAGTGATGGCAATTTTTTCCCCACACCACTGGCTGAATACTAAAGCGCAAAAGGAATCGTTTAAGTTCTTCAAGGTTTAAGGTATTCACTGAAATATGCCCAAGCAGGAAAATTAGTTTTTTTTTTGTCTTAAAGCATTGTGAAGCTTACTCCACACATCCACTTTGTCTCTTAAATTTCCCCCAAAAATGTCTCCAGAAAGGATACTGCGGTTGCAGTAGTTAGCAGGAAGGCTGCTAGGAATGGTGGGTTGTCCATATATGCCAAGTAACACTATGGAGTCCTAAATGTGCAGAAAAAGAAAATTTTGTTTTTAGTTATGTTTATTTCTTTTTATTGCACTATGAGCAAAGTATAAATGAGATCAAATTTTAAGCATACATTACATCAATGAGGCAAGTGTTGTCAGCTCAAATGGCTGCAAATCTACCAAAGATGATTGAATGACAGAAACCAGAATAAAAGAAATTTTAAAAAATGAATAATTTTAGATCCTTATAGAGGAAATTTCCATTTACCTACGGCAGTGGAGAGCAACAAGGAGAGCATACCATGGCAAATCTCCCACAAAGGACTGCTGTTGTTAGCCAAGTTTTATAGTCCTTCAACCTCTCTCCCTTCTGGGGTTGCTTAGCAATAGCAATAGCACTTAGACTTATATACCACTTCATACTGCTTTTACAGCACTCTCTAAGCAGTTTACAGAGTCAGCATTTTGTCCCCAGCAATCTGGGTCCTCATTTTACCCACCTCGGAAGGATGGAAGGCTGAGTCAACCTTGAGGCTGGTGAGATACGATCTGCCAAATTGCAGGCAGCCGGCAGTCAGCAGAAGTAGCCTGCAGTACTGTATTCTAACCACTGTGCCACCGCAGCTCTTAGATTCCTTTGGGAATCTAAGATCAGGAAATAATTGCAGAGAGAAAGTCATTCATTCATTCAATTTCTCAACTAGTGACTCTGGCAGCTTACAGTAAGGTTACATATGAAATGAGGATTAGCTACATACATGTATTGGGCAAGTATTTAAGGTACAGGCAAGAAATAATTAGCTAATTGGGGTAAGCAAATAGGAGAAAACTAGATTGTCCAAGCAGGCCTTTGGATGCTAATTAAGAGCACAGTGCTTTCTAGTAAAACAACAGTCCATGCCCTTATAGAGGAATGGATTCAAAGATAACCTATTTTACTCCCGTAGACTTCAAATGTCAATGAAATGTTTTCCCTGATTGTTCAGATATTTTGATACACCTGACTTGAGAAGTAGTGCTTTTCCTAAATGGGATGACAATTCTGATTCTTTCTGGAAGAAAGAAAGCAGCACCAGCAGGGACATTGATATGATTTTGTCTTCCAAGCCTACAAGCTATTCAGAGAGGTAACTTTTCTTTACAAAACATCAACACTTATAATAACATAAACATGAAGTCAATTACTTTGCTTGCTGACCTGCCACTTTTAAATCATCTTTGCAAAATAAGAGTGAATTTGAATATTCAAATTCCAGAATTTGGATGAAAATTTACATAACAAAGAAACCTACCTATTTGAAATCTGAATGTTATATTAGCGTCTCTGCAAATGAGAATGGGGGTGTAGGATTTAGAGTCAAGAGTCTAAAAATATTTGGCTTTCTGGTGGCTTCAGAAAATTGCATGAGTATATGACAAAATACTTTGACAAAGCAGATAGGAATCGGAAATCTCTGGAAAACATTCTAATGAGGAAGTGGCCAGTGGAATGCATGCACAATCCAGAGCAGGGGTCTCCAACCTTGGCAACTTTAAGACTTGTGGACTTCAATTTCCGGAATTCTGGGAGTTGAAATCCACAGGTCTTAAAAGTTGGCAAGGTTAGAGATCCCTGATCCAGAGTGCAGATTTTATAGCAGAATTGAAAATGCCTTGCTTTCCAGTTTTACCAGATTATATTCATGATTGTGAAAGAAAGGAGGAACATCAAAGGAATATAAAGCTCCAAATTCCTTAAATAATAAATACCGTACTGCACACTTATTTTCAGTTTTCAGTACTGATCATAAATGATTCCATAGTGAGGAGGACAATCTGAACATAAAATTTTTACAATTGTAATTTTTGTGTATAATCATTAGTAATATAAAAATCAGATAACAAGTAGTTTTCTTTATGAATCTGTCATACTGAAGATAGCATTCACAATTAATGTAGTCCTCTATTTACAGCCATAATAGAGCTTGCCCATTAAGTCCTAAGTCACGACGGTTGTAAAACAGGTCACCTGAACGACTTATCTGATTTTATAACCGTTTTTTGGCATGCTCATTAAGTAAAACCATGGTTTGCTGTGAGGAGCAAACCAGAGGAGCAAACGCCAGTTTTCAGCCAACATGTGATTATGGGATACTGGAAAGAGCCATTAATTCAGGCCAGCTGTTTAGCACTCAAAATGCAGTCACATGACTGTAAGGGGTGGCCTTCAGAACCAGTTCATAGTCCCTTTTAGGAAGTCCATCCTAACTTCAAATAGTTTCTAAATGAGCCATTATAAGTTGAAGTCTACCTGTATTAAGGATATTTGTGAAATACAAATTTCTTTGTTGATCTGAGACAGGGTGGATTTGATTTAAATCAAGTCAATTGAAATCACGATTTAAAACACTAATAAAAAGGCTTGATTTAAATCAACTCTATTTAAATCATAATTTTTGAGGAGCAGCTGTCATCTCTGTCCCGCAGCAGCTTCTCCTCTGACCTGCTGTTGACTCACTGACAGTCCCAATATTGCAGAATAAACAGCCTCTCATGCTACATAACCAAGCTCCATTTCATGCTGAATAAGCTAAATTATTAATGTATCTTAAATAGAAAACTACATAGATTTTTTTACTCCAAAGGCATTTTAAATTGGATTTTAAAAAATCCAATTTAAAACATGTGATTTTTTATTTTTTTTAAAAAAAGATTGATTTTGATCCACCTTGATCTGAGATATAACCATGTTAAAACATTTTGCAGGTCATCGTCTCGTAGGAAACTAGAGCATGAAAACACTGCAAGCACAGATGAAGCACAAAAGAAATTTGGCAATGCAAAAGCTATTTCATCAGATATGTATTTTGGAAAGCAAGACCATGCTGAAGTAAGTATAGCCAAACATTCTGAAATTATTCACTGGTTATGGTTTCAGAATGTCATCCCATTGCAATACAATTGGCCGAATAAGAAAAGATATGGAATGGGCCTTCCCATCTCTACTCCTAAGGTTAGAGACCTCCTGAGATTTACTGAGCATTACCATGGAATTACACAAACATTATTATGTTTTTTATTTTATTCAGTTACTATCTAAATTTTTCAAGGGGAAAAACAGTAAGAAAAATCAAGAGGAAGGATCCAGGGGAAAATTATTTCAATGTCAACTTGACAGAATAAGGAATTTAAACTGTATTTGGAAGGATTAATTTATTCAGGGAAAAAGTTCAGTGCTATAAATATTTCAATGCAGTCCATGTAAGTATTGTTTCATTAGATATACAACCAAAAAGAAGTCTGTTCAGAGAAGCAGGATTCTATTTTACATCTGTTTTGAGGTTATCTAAATTTTGCAATATACGGATTAATTTTGTAGTCCCAAAGGTGCTTTTTTCAAGAGGCAACCGGACTTTCTAGTTTTTCTTTGAAGACATTTTGCTTCTCATCCAAGAAGCTTCTTCAGCTCTGACTGGATGGTCGGGAATGGAAGGATTAATACTCCTTGTGGATAGCTCCTGTAGGTTTTGCAGGTTACTATAATGGACTATATTTTTCTATTTTTTTATGAACGTTGGAGAATTAGACATCTGCATGCTTGATTTGATTGACATTTTGGAAATCACTCTCTAGATGGGAAAGATGGACATATTCTTTTTGACTGAAATCTCCTTCACTCTCTATAGTATGAAGCTAGAGTTCGGTTAGAAAGGCTTTCTGGGAATGCTGCCATAAGCTCAGCGGATTTGTTTGAAGAACAAAAGAAACAGCCATCAGGTATGGAAGGAAAAAGCTTGAGTTTCAGATATTGCCAGTTTTATAAAGCAACCTGCTATTCTTATTAACTATAATGTACTAAGTATTTATTTGGAAATAAATAAGGTACAGTGCATTTCTGGATAAATTTGTTTAAGGGTGTTAGTACTTAGTACTTCTGTGAAGACTTTTGTGCCTATACACAAGTCAAGTGGCAAGGCAGCATTCCACCATTGTCACTTAAAAGAATTTAAATTAGTGGTGTTCATATACATGGACATGGTGGCTCAGTGGCTAAAGCGCTGAGGTTGTCGATTGAAAGGTTGACAGGTCGGCGGTTTGAATCCCTACTGCTGCGTAACAAGGTGAGCTCCCGTTACTTGTCCCAGCTTCTGCCAATCTAGCAGTTCGAAAGCACATAAAAAATGCAAGTAGAAAAAATAGGGATCACCTTTGATGGGAAGGCAACAGCGTTCCATGCCCCTTCAGCGTTGGGTCAGGCCGGCCAAATGACTACGGAGACGTCTTCAGACAGCGCTGGCTCTTCGGGTTTGAAATGGAGATGAACACCGCCCCCTAGAGTCAGGAATGACTAGCACATATGTGTGAGGGGAGTCTTTATCTTTATACAGAAACCCAATATGAGGTTGTAATTAAGGTATTGAACTGGCACTGAATAGATTCGGGTTCATATCCAACCTCAGCCACAAAGCTCACTCTCTCAACCCAGCCCATCTCACAAAGTTCTGGTTGTGGGGAAAATGGGAAGAGGAACTGCAGTGTGTACTATTTGACTGAATAAAATGCCAAATAAAAGCCCTTTAGACTGTCAGCTTGCAAAGAGAGGGTGGGATGGCAAGGTAATAGAGAATGTTGCTTTGTGTTGCTCATGTTACCTTGCTGCCTCTTTGTTTGCGAGCTCTTTGGGCTGCCACCTCCACTCATTCTTTCTTTCCTTCCTGTGATCAGATTTCACTCTTTATTTCTTTCTCTCCCGAACTGTACGGTGGCTGTAACTTTGAAACTGGGTTTGCTGTGCAGCCTGGGTTATTCCCCCTCATCTCTGGATGCCATGTCACAAACTTTGGGGAACGCTGCTCTAAACTCTGAAACGTACTTTCCAATGAAATAGCCTCCCTCTTTATTTTATTATTTATTTACTTCTGGTTAGGAGGCAGAAAATATCTGATTAGTACTTGAATGGGGAAATCATCTGGACATTTCAGGGCTGTACAGATAGTCCCTGGGTTACAACAGCGATTAGGACTGGAATTGCCATCACTAAGCAAAATGGTCATTAAAGAGAGATGTCATGTGACTGCACTGCTCAGCAAAGGCGATTCGGGCTGTCTTGATGGCTGTTGTAACCCCGAGATCTCACAGATGATGAAGCAGAAAGATAGGGAAGTCCCAGGCCAGCAGGGAAGTGTGTGGGTGCTGTGGGCAGGGGTAGATGCCACAAAAGAGCAGGGATGAGTGTGCAAGAAGAGAATGCAGAGTTGCTGTAGGAAGGTGCATAGAGAGGCAATTGCTGCAGGCAGGGCCTAGGGAGCGCAGGTGGGTTTGCAGAAGGCAGTTAGGATTACGGGCAGTTGCTATGGATCATAGGCAGACAAAAAAGTGGCTGGGCTCATTTTTTGACATCCTACTGGCTTCCCCATTGACTTTCCTTGTGGAGGTCAGCAGGAAATGCTGAGATGCAAAGATTGTAAATTGCAAACACATGATCATGGCTCATTACATCATAATCACAAGCATCCGAGCGCCTGAATCTGTGGGGTAATTGCAATAGCCAGAAATGGACAGGTCTTAAATCCTCCCTGTTTAGCACAATCGTAATTTTGAACAGTTGCTGACTGAGTGGGTATTACTCAAGGGCTACTTGCAAACTGCACTGAGAAGTCAGAACGTTGCAGTATCTTTGAAGAAAGTGATACACCACTTCCCCATTTTTGCAAAGAAAACTACAAAGGTGGCTTTGAATTTAAAGCACAGATATGCAAAATTTAGAAAAAGCAGTAGCAAATTATTTGGAACACAAATAAGGAAAATGTTAACCATTAAAAGCCCAGCTAAAGAGGGGTAAGCTTTATAGGTTATCTAAAGGTAGAGAAAGTGATCACTTTGAAGGAATCCATCCTGTAGCCTGGGAACAATGTAGGCAAAGTCTCTCTCTTGCTCCCCATGTTTCAGTTTGTGGGAGTTATTACAAGCTTTATTTCTCTGGTTTTATATTATCTTCGGTTGTTTAAAAGGAAAGGCTTTATTGTGTGGAAGGAGTACTGACCAAAAACTACATAAGAAGCTGGCTATTTGTTCAAAGATAAAACAATCTTTTAGATACGAATCAACTTTATTCAATTTGTTGTGTCGAGTTTTTTTCTTTCAAATGGTTTTTTTGGAGCTACGTGCCAAAGCCTTGCTTTTTTTAATCTCTCTCTGTCTTTTAGGCAATTACAATATTTCAAATGTCTTGCCTGCTGCTCCTGATATGACTCAGTTTAAACAAGGAGTGAAGTCTGTGGCCGGAAAGCTTTCCGTTCTGGCAAACGGTGTCATGACCTCTATTCAGGTTAATAAACTTACGAATTTGGAATATTTCCCAAATGAAATGGTCCCATATGCTATCTTCCTCACTGTTTAGTCCTGTCATTTGGTATGAAGGGATGAAGAACTGTGAACCTGACAATGAGAACATATGCAGAGCCATAGGAGGATTGTTGCATAGCTAAAAAAAATAAGGAAAGCCTCTTTTTGTTATGATTATTTCACACTTGTGAAATAAATGAAGAACACAAAATGTTCTTACACTTTTTCAGGTTACTTCATTAAGTTGCCTATGAACCAAGCTAATTACCATATTTTTCAGAGTATAAGATCCCTCCCCCCCCAAAAAAAAGTGGGTACAAATTTTGGTGCATCTTATAGACTGGATACGGGCCTGTTTTTGGGCTCCTGAACTCTCCAGATGGCCCATTTTTGGCAAAAACAGGCTCGTTTTTGGCTCCCTAACCCTCTGCACGTCACGTTTTCACTCTTGGTCCCCAGAAGTACTCTGAAGGCCAAAAATGTGCCTGTTTTTGGCAAAAATGGGATGGACAGAAAGTTCAGGCTAAAAATGGGCCTGTTTTTGGCCTGCCAAGTGTTTCTGGGGGCCAGGGAGGGCGAAAACGCAACGCGTGGAGGCCGAAGACTATTTTTTCTTCTTTTTTTCCTCTAATTCTAGCCGCATCTTATAGTCCGTTGCGTCTTATAGTTTGAAAAATATGGTAACCTGTAGAGTTTTCAGAAACAAATATACCTTAATTTTCCAAGGATTGAAAAATTGTTTTGTAAATTCTGAATTTAGGGATACAAAATAACATCAGTTGAGATCTCATTTTGTGGCAAAGTTAACGAAAACTCTGTATGTAAATATGGCAATTTTGCTTATGAGAAATGTAACCTGTTCATTTCTTTTTATCTTTCCCTAGGATCGCTATGGTTCTTAACCATTATGGTTCATGTGACTGGATATCTAGAAGATTTAAAAAAAACATTTCTATGCCTACCAATAATTATATTGCAGACGAACATGAAGTTGCCTTTAGTCTGCAAAATATGTAATCCTAATTTCTGGCACTTATATATTTTTAATGGGAGTCTTTTTTTTTTTTTTTGGCTCCTCATAATATTCATTTATTATTTCTGTTGTCTTTCTCTCTCCCCTCCCCGCCTTATTGTACTACAAGTTAATTGGCTACATTGAATTTGCTTCTAAAACAGAGCAAAAAGCAATATGGAATCCTATTTACTTTCCCAGAATACTACTAGGCTAAGAATTAATTCAATTTTATAAATCTGAGGATAAGTGGTCATTTAAAATTACTTTTCATTGTCTCTCTGAAAAGGAGAGTGGCGGTTAATTCCTTGAAAAGTGCCTATTTTAGGGGCAGGGGGGGGACATTAATCCTACTAAGATATTTCACTCTATGGGGATACAGGTAATTGTTGAAAGATACAAATATAAAAGAATAAGAAGGTTTAAGGAATGCAGAAGCCTATAAGATATGGAAATTCTTACGTGAGAGATAATGGTGGGGTCTCTTCAGCACAAAAATAAGGTATATAATTTTGTGTCAGATTGTGTTCAGTAAATAATAAATAGTAAATAGATGCGCACATAACAGATAACTGAAAGTAGATGCAATAGAAAATTGGAATAGGTTTTGTTGAATTAGTTTTCCATTTAAGTTTGTTTCCTGAGGATGAGACGCATCTCCTTTATTTAATATAGCATAAGTTTGACATATTTATTCATCACATTTAATTTGGTTCCATAAGTGCTTAATTGCAATCAATATGGTGTCTGAAATAAAGAATAAATTGTAGGTATATGTAAAGTAATAAGGAGACATGCTCTCTGAATCTAATCACATAGACCAGGGGTGTCAAACTCGCATCATCTCGTCATGTGATGTATCACGACTTTTCACCCCTTCGCTAAAATGGGTGGGCGTGGCCACTGCATGACGTATCCGGCCTGCGGGCTGCAAGTTTGACACCTCTGACATAGACTGATAGAATGTTTAAATAACAAAGAGTTCTTACCTTTTGTCTGTGCATAAAAAAACTTTTCCGGCTGTGGCTGTGTTTTAGACAACCAGGAACCTCAGTTATTTAAAACAATGAATTTAAAATGTTTAATATGGAGTCAGAAATTTTATTTTTTTCCTTGAACAGCAGGCATTTCAATGTAAAAATCAAAATAAATTTTGATTTTACAACTTGTGTCTTGGATTTTGATCAATTCTTAAATTTGATAAGGTATCAATTTTCGTGAATTTGACTTGCCAATTCTGTAGAAGAAATACAGAAGATTTTTTTTTGCCTATTTCTTATTTTGAACATAATTCATATTGTTTCAAATATGGCTGCAGGATTAAACCTGATTAATCTTTGGATGGGAAACCACCAGAAAATAGACTTGAAGATAAGAAAACATCCTAGAAAAAAGGCACTGGAAAACCATTTGTGCCCCAGGATCTTCAACTCATCTTTCTCTCTTTTAATAGTAGTTTTATTAAAAATTACAATTGCAAAGATAAAAGCTAATACAAAGAATAAAAAGAAAACACAGTGCAGAAAGGAAGAATAGAAAACAAAGAAAAAGAAATGTATAATGAAATGACTTCCCTCTTCATCACAAGTATAAACAACAACTTTAGTAACATCACTTTCTTTTAAAATACAGTGAATAGTCTACCAATAGCTCATCTCTTATCTATAAACAAATCTTTAAAACCTCATTGTTTCAGTTTTGATCAGTAAAAGTCCATTAAAGATTACCAGAAATCACATATTTCAATTTATATTCCTAAACCAATTTTATACTCTTTCAGGCTACACTTAAAAAGGTAACACACTGTTATGCAAACATAAGTTGGTTTTTCATTATTTGGAAATACGTGGCAATACCTTCCAGCTACTGATGGTTCTCATGTATATGGTTAAAAATAGAAATTATGGCAATCTGTACCCTCTTTAACATTGAACTTCTCTATAAAAGTAATAATGTTTTACCCTCTGCCCTATGCACTCATTTGCCATTAGGGAAAAATATGCTGCTACAGTCGTCATATGGTATAATTTGACATATGTTGAAAATTATAGCTTCCAGATACGTCCCTCTGACCTTATTGAGTAAATCTTCAGAGACACTGTGAAGTGTCATTCTCATTTTAGATTTAAATAAAATGTAATTCAATAAATTATAATTACAATATATATTAAAACAGGAACGTCAAGGTCAAGGTTGATGCACATGAAGCCCTGTTTAATCATTAATAGTTTTTAATTACTTGAATTGCAACAGGCTTACTAAAAAAACCTGCTGTTCACTTACTGTATATTCTGTGTTGGAGATTGGACAAAAAGCTCCATGCAAAGAATGAGGACTTTGGGTAATCTCTGGATGGTGAGAAATCTGCAGGTATCTTTATGATTTGCTCTGGAATCTGGGGGCAATATGCTTAAAATGAAAATATACATACATATATGCAGGGGTGGGCTTCAAAAATTGCAGCAACAGGTTTGCTTCCCCGTTGCTGGGTGGGCATGGCCATGGTGGGCGTGGCCTAGTCAGCCTCCTGCACCAGGGGGGGGGGCATTTTTCACCCTCCCCAGCCTCTGGAGACTTTCCTTGAGCCTCTGGGAGGGTGAAAACTGCCCCCCCCCCGGAGCTCCAGAGGCCAGAAACAGGCCTGTTTCTAGACTTCCAGAACTTCTAATAGGCCTGTTTCTCCCTTGCTGAGCTTTCGTGCAGGCCCTGCACTTAACCTGGCATGATGAACTGGCCGTGTGGAGACTCCTAGGACAGTGTGGGATGGAAGGGGTAGGCATGGCCAGCCAGGCGTGGCATTTGGGGGTTCGCCAAACTGAGCAGAATCCTAGTTAGAGGATTGCTCGAACCTGTGCGAACCCACAGCAGCCCACTCCCGCATATATGTTTGCGTCTGCCATTCCTTTTAAATTCCTCTGGTTGAACACCCTATTTTCTTTTGCTATTGGAATCATCTTAATTTTTTTCAAATTTCTGGTTAGGACAAATAATGGAGTGGGAATATGTAGGCTTACAATGAATACATAGGACATTCTGGATCTACCATAAAAAGTAAATAACAAAATGCAGTCCAAAGACAATCATAGTTAAATAGGTGAAATAAAAATCAGAACCAGTAATAATAATGGCAATAAGTAAAGCATTAAATGACACTAAAGCAGCAACAAAACAGATCCATTCTAAACCATAATGAATCTTAATATGCCTGGGGGAAAAAAATCTTGATTTTATAAGACTAATGTAATCAGGCGTCTTTGGGGAGGGGTTTCTATTGAGAGACACCACTTCTAAAAAAAATGGTACCCACTTATTTTTTTAAATCTATGAAATATAAATTTGATGTGGTTCATCAAAAAAAATGCACACTGAGGTGATTTGATATATCTAGTGCTGCAATTTTATTTTTTGGTACTCATTTACATTGTAAAACAGGAACCCAGGGCCCTGAACTGCAATTCTCAATGAGGTTGTGTATTCACACAAGGGCACTCACTCACACTCATTCACTCACTAGGGAATAGATCTTTAAATCAAATAACAGAATTGGAAGGGACCTTGGAGGTCCTCTAGTCCAATCCCCTGCTCAAGTAGACCACCTTATTTCATCTCAAATAGCTGTCCAATCTCTTCTTGAAAACCTGTAACAGAGCACCCACACCTTCTGAAGGCCAAACTATTCCTCTGATTAATTGTTAATAACATTACTTCTTGAGCACCTTTAATATTTATCTTACTGGTTTTTATCACTTGAGTGAGAAGGACTGAGGCGCTGGCAATTTGTTATAATGCTTCATTTTTAAAAAGTGGAAAATGTGATCTTAAACCAGTTTGCACATTTAAGCTGCTTTCCAGATGCAAGGCAACTGAATTCCTTTCACATGGCAGAGATTATACCAAACATTTGGTAGGTTCTCTCAAAAAGCTTTTACTTTCTATTTGTAGAATATTGCTGACCTAGATGTGTTGCTGCTTTTTTGCAAAGGGCAAAGAGCTTTTGCTTTTTCTCAGAAACAACTAATTGTAGTTGCAGGCCATCCACCCCTGGACTTGTTTTGTTTACAGTTATGAACTTGGGAGTTATAATTACAAAATATTTGGAGGACACCAAATTCAGGAAGATGGGTGTAAGCATGATACTTTCTCATGAATGCTACTTGTGAACGTCTGTTTATACAGGTTACAGTGAGGCTGTGATAGATAGCTTGTCTAGTTGAAATTGCCAGAATATTTAAAATCACTTTGTCAGGAGGATCCTGTGGAATATAATCAATTTGAGGAAATCTTTGGAATTATCAGTAGAAAGAATGGAACTGTCAGTGTGGAAAGAGTAGAAGGGGATCAAAATAGCAAAAAGAATTTTAAAAAAAATCTGTCCTGCTTATTAATTACCAGAACAGCATTTTTATGCCATGTAAATTAGTCATACTAACCATAAACATTCAGTGACTCAACATAATCCTTTTAGACCTGAACACCACAAAACCAGTATTGGCTCAAAGAGATTTAAAATCTGTCACAAATCAGCAAAGTCAGATTAGTGAAGTTGCTTTTGTCTCCTGGTTGGTGTGAATGAGTGTGACACTATTGATCCTTGGCATTTCAATGTGTTTTGACACTATCAACCATCATATTCTGGGCCATCTCCATTAATTGAATGTATTCCCTTAGAGTGGTTCTTGTAGGAATGACCTAACAGAAGGCTACTAGGTCTCATGAGGTAAACAGACTTCCAACTAAATATGCATACATTTTAAATAGCAATAGCAATAGCAGTAGACTTATATACCGCTTCATAGGCCTTTCAGGTCTCTCTAAGCGGTTTACAGAGAGTCAGCATATTGCCCCCAACAACAATCCGGGTCCTCATTTTACCCACCTCGGAAGGATGGAAGGCTGAGTCAACCCTGGAGCCGGTGAGATTTGGCAGATAAGAAACTTAGCTTAGTCCGGTCAGATTTATGGGACTATTCAGACCAGCAATTTTTCTCTA